TGCCAAAAGAACTCAGTCCTGGTGGCCCCTCTCATGCTGGGCTGTGTTCTTGAGCTGACCGCATCATACTTCCTTCTCTTCTGGGTTTTTTTTCTAAATACTCTTCTGAGAACTATTTATTGCATAAATATTTCTTCATCTTTTTAAATACCTTTTATCACACTTTGCATTTGGCATTTCTCTAACCAAATGCAGACAGTAGACTGTGCAAGCTGCCTGGTTTTCTGTTTCATTTTGGGTTTTGGTTTTGTTATTGTTGATTTTCATAAGGAGGACATGGGTATTACCAAAGGAAAGTTGCTATAAATACTGAGTCAGAGAAACCCATGGGTAACATAAGGTAGTTATTTAAACTAGTTGGCAGCTGTCCTTACAGTACTGGTTCCTAATTCGTTAATGAAAAAAAAAATTATTTTGGTAGAATGGTTGAAAGATTTTCAAAGTACCTCTTTTTACTAAGAAATTTTTAGTGTAACAATAACACCATTTTACTGTGCTTAATTTTGCAAGAAGCTACAAGAATGGTAACATCATTCCCAGCGTCTGAATGTCTTTTCTTCCAGGACTTCTAATAGTTCAAGATGCTTCAGAGAGGGCAGCACTTATACCTGGTGGTCTTTCTGATGGTCAGTTTTATTCTCCTCCTGAATCTGAAGCAGGTAAAAGACTTGATTACATTTGTGTTTTTGTTCATCATTCAAAAACTTGGCCTGCATGCTCACTTGTTCTCTCTGTCTCCCAGTCTCTCTGTCTTTGACTCTCTCTCAATACACTTAGCGAGCATTTAGTATACCAGGCATCGTTGTTGTTAGGTGTCGTCGAGTCAATTCCAACTCATAGTGACCCTGTGAACAACAGAATGAAACGCTGTCCCGTCCAGCACCATCCTCACAATTCTTGCTATGTTTGAGCCCACTGTTGAAGCCACTGTGTCCATCTCGTTGAGGATCTTCCTCTTTCTCGCTGACCCTCTACTTTATCAAGCATAATTTCCTTCTCCAGGGACTGGTCCCTCCTGATAACATGCCCAAAGTACATGAAATGAAGTCTCACCATCCTTGCCTCTAAGGAGCGCTC